AGTAATTTACTGCCGTCAACAATAAAAATGACTATCTGCATACGGCACGTTACGACCCGGCATTATTTCATTTTAACACGGATAGTAATACAGCTGTATTTGCCCGCATTGTAAAAGGCTAGATATACGACCGTTAATACTTCATTAAAGTGACCGTATGCAGATAGTCATTTTTATTGTTGACGGCAGTAAATTACTGTTTATTCTACTGCTGACCTCTGCGCTTGATGACCTTTTATTTGTGATATAATGATCCGTCTGAAAGATCTACCAGATTTTTTAAAACATCATAAACTTAATCAAAAACTCATTTATTGAAAGCAACGAGTAATTTTACTTGAAAATATATTTTAGTATCTTACCTGGATAATTTTATCAAAACTCACGTAGAATTGCAAAGATTATATTGAGTATGAGAGGTTAAGATCGAGTTTCTGTCGGATCCTACCCATCCTCTTCTCTCTCCTTACAAGATGTGGGCGTGGGATGGATGTGTGAGGATCGGATAAACGCCCACACCAACGCCCGCTGAATTGATGGAAAACATCGCAAAAGGCAACTCACACCTATACCCACCCCTACATTCACATCCACTATAAGAAAACTCAGAAAAACATTAAAACAGCGAAAGGGCATCAAGTACCTTTAAAAGTTTTGCAAATATTTTATTCATTCCACAAAAAGACGCATAAAGCATGAGGACATCATTATTCGAATTCATTCAACACTTCTTCTTCGAATTTTGTCTCGAAAAATTAGTTGATTCGCATGAATACTTCACTAACTACCACTAGCTCAGGGTGTGGGTGTTGGTTTTTATTGACCTACGTCCACACTCCATACCGACATACCCATTCACCTTTCCGCACACACGTTGAGTTTATTTCTTGAACTAATTGTATATTGTCGAGAATTGAATAAATGTGCGTTGAAAGTAATAAAAATCTTTTTTCTGAAGTGTATAAGTCATAGAAATCGGTCAATATTTCGGTAAGTTTAATTTTTGATTTTTAATAGATATTCAATTTATGCTCGCTATAAAATTTATGTCATAATGTTGTCGTTTTTTGTCTCTCTGGTTATTTCTTATCTAACTCAATTACATGAAGTAGTTAAACCTAACGCATGTTTCTCAGATAAGGAGAGAAAGGAGTTACTATTTTAAAACAAAAACAGTAAGATGATATTTCGTTGATAAAATCTTCATTTGGTATATTTATAATATGCAATCAGAACAAATATAATAATAAAGATGTCTCCTGTTGTATCCTCGGCCATGTTTACATCTCTAGATAGTTATTCATTCTCTCTTGCTCGTGTGTTTGTGCATGGTGTTCTATCTTATCTGTTGTGATGGTGCCTGATGCATTGTCTTGTTTTTTTTCTTTTTGCTCTCTTCTATTTTAATGCATCCTTCTCAAGGAAAACATCGATCTATCATGACACGTAAGAGAGAAGAGAAGTATGTGAATATTTTTGTTCGGGAATGTATGTGTTGTAGGCAAAATTGAAATTCAGGCAAATTTTAAATTTTCCCAGTCAAAATTAAAATCTGAATTGAAATACTTTTTTATTGAAAAATATTTCTTCATTTAACTAAACAATTCCAAGAGAATACATCTCGACAAAGTCTTTTAATCTATTCACTCATATTTCCACAGCTACCTCATTTTGAATGACATTTTTTCGAACAAAAAACTGCCATTTTTCTATAGGGACATTGTTTGTAGCGCATTTACCTTTGCAATCTCACGTGGTACCAGTTATTGATGCGCGTACGTAAAGTTTACATGCTTCAATCAATGTAATATCCTTTAATTCATTAACAACCATGTGTTTTAATTCTTTTGGGCAAGCCATTGGTAAATCAATAAGATGTTCAACTGAATACGTGTTTTCCAATCCACCATATTGACAAGCCAATTTAAATGTAATTTTTTCATCTTTTAAAAATTGTTTGCCCAAAAGAATTAAAACACATGGTTATTGATGATTTAAAGGATATTACATTGATTGAAGCATGTCAACTTTACGTACGCGCATGAATAACTGGTACCACGTGCGATTGCAAAGATAAATGCGCTACAAACAATGTTCCTGTAGAAAAATGGCAGTTTTTTGTTCGAGAAAATGTCATTCAAAACGAGGTAGCTGTGCAAATATGAGTGAATAGATTAAAAGATTTTGTCGAGATGTATTCTCTTGGAATTGTTTAGTTAAATGAAGAAATATTTTTCAATAAAAAAGTATTTCAATTCAGATTTTAAGTTTGACTGGGCAAATTTAAAATTCCAATTTTGCTCACAACTTCTGTTTGCTTTTTGTTTTCTGAAGAAAGACGCTTGGTCTGGAAAAAAAGTGATGAAAAGTTATAAAATCTCCATTTTAGATAAATGAAAATGTTTTATATAATTGGTATTTGTTTGTTAATTGGCGTATCATATGGAATAGATTATGATTTTTTATTAGCAAACGGTCCAACACATATAAATTCTAACAACTCGTATTATATGCCATACGGTGATCCAAAATATGATATAAAAATAAAATTATTAAAAGTTGATCCTCATACTGGTTTATGGATAAATATTCTGAAAGGTGGACCTGGAAGTATGTTAGGTATACATCGTCATTATGATCAAGTATATGGTTATACCTTTAAAGGTGCTTGGGGTTATAAAGAACATCCTGAATGGTTATCTCGAGCAGGTGATGTTGTTCATGAAACTCCTGGATCTGTTCATACATTGTATATTGATGAAAATCATGGAGAAACAGAAGTTTTATTTTTTGTTTGGGGTGCTTTAGAATTTTTAGATGAATTTGGTAATACAATTGCTATTGAAGATTGGAGATCAATTTTAGGAAAATATGTTGATTATTGTGAAAAAAATACTTTACCCATTATTGATATAACTTATCCAAAAAGTAAAGTTCCAGATGTACATTTTCATAATAAAGACAAAGTTGAATTATAATTGTTAAAAGACATTATACCATTTCATTTAAATTTTCACTTTTAATTATTGATTTATTATTAAATATTTAATCACTCTTTTAAAGAATAAATAAATTTTCATATTAAAAGCTTTTGTGATTTAAAATGATTTTCGTGAGCTTATATGATTTTTTTTCTATTATGCTTTATTTACCCTATGACCCTGAAAGGTCCTAAAGGGACAACCAATCCATCACAAAAAGATTACAAATAAAAAGAAAGAATTAAGAGTTAAGAATTAAAAGAAAAATTGGCCTCATGACCACAGAGAACATAAAGTTGACGATCAGTTCAGACGTAGGAATTTGATGTTCTTATCGTTTCGGCAAATTGACATTAGTTTTCTTTGGAGACGAACCAGCTGCAGTATCCAACTTTTTAATTGATTCGATGAACAGATAATGAAATTCATCCTGGACCGAAAGTACCTTGTTTTCCCGCAGGATAACGAATAATCGCAAGATGTTATTGATAAGGGCATTTATTTCCAGTTGATGATTGACAAATTTGGACTCCATATTCTCCGCTTTGCATTGAGTGTACTGAACTGTTTGCTTTTGTACTTCAAATTTATCCTCCCAGGATTTTATCGTGGCTTTCATATCTCGCGTTTTCTGCTCGTTGATTTCGATTTGTTCATTCAAAGAATCTATACGACGTTTATTCTCAGAGTCCCGCTCGAATATTTCGGTTTTGAACAATTCGAAGGAAGAACGAGTTTTCTCGCCTTCCTCTTCCATTTTCTTTAGGATTTTATCTATATTTGTTGCATTTTGAACTGGAGGATGTGTGATAATAGATTGCTGTGATGGAAGCAATGGAAAGTTTTGGTACAAGAGATTATCCATTTGCTGAATCGGGAGTTTGGCGAGCAGGGTTCGAGTAAGAGATGCACGATAGTCCTTGACGATACGACACTTTGAGTCGTTAGAACGATGAGCTTCTCCACAATGAATACATTTTGGCACCTCCGAACAAGCATGATCCTTGATATCGGAACATTTTTCCCCACAAATTTTGCATGTCACCTGATCCTGTTGTGGGCAGTTCTTTTGAAAATGCCCGATACCCATACATCTAGAGCATATAAGGACGTTTGCCAATGCTAAGTATTCGACAACTTTATATCGAATATTGGCGATACCGATAAACTTATGCTCTAGGATTTCGTTTCGTGTCTTAACTGATTTGATCTCGATTTTAACTAATTTGAGATCTTGCAGGTTTCGATTTTTCAAACGCACCACTTTGACAATGTCAGGAAAATTCGACTGAAGATCAGTTGTAAAGTCCTCCCAATTAATATGGAAAGGGACATTTTGAATGACTGCGGAGAGTTGAGGCGGAATTGACGGTTTCTTCAATGTAAACTCCTTGCCACCGAGTTGAGCGGGCCAGTGTACTTCTTCGAGTAAAAATTCAAATGAGTCTGTTGTTTCCACGAACACGAGCACATCGTATTCACCGTGAATGCAGTTGACCTGAGATCTTCGATATCCTATGATTTGAAGACCGAAATCTAGTTGCTCTTTCGAATGTTTCACTAGATGCTCGACGACAATTTTGTCACGTACTTCGTCTTTAAAGTGAATGACAAATGGTGAAAAAGGATAACGAGTCATCGCATATCGCTTAGCTTGATTCGTCACTTGATTGTCGTTGGACATGGTAGTTTGTGCTTGAGCATACGGAATTCGAGTACGATATGTCTGAGGATGAAGATTAACGGGCGCTGTGGTATGTTGATTCACGGCATTGGTGTTATTCGAATTGTAGACGACACGATTAATTTTCTTAGTCCCGTGAACTGTTTGCCATCCCTCTTCTTGTAATGACATATCGTTATCAATAGAACCACTGACATCATGATGTCCTCTTTTCATTCCTCCTGGCGTGGATGGAGGTATGTTCGACACAAGAAGAGGAGAAGGTGCCTGTAAGTATGTGCTGTGCTGATAAAGAGGCGCAGAACATTGGTACGTGATGGTATGAGGAGTGTGCAGATGGTTTTGGTTCGTTTGTTGGTACTGTGGGTGAGAATGAATAATCGAGTTGTTACTCATTGATCGAGAAATTGTGTTCAATTGTATTGGAACAAATTGTCCATTTTCAATGACACCTGACATAGATACTAGTTGACCCGAGTGAGCATATGCTTGAACCGGCTGTTGATTTTGAGACTGAAGCTGAGCTTGCTCAATACGTACCTGATTGTAATCAAACGATTCCAGCTGTGTAAATGAATTTCCATTTGAGATTGTATCAGTAGTTCCGATCGGATTTGAAACCGAAGAGGGAGAGGAAGTTTGATGTACATCCATGTACATGCACTAACCCCCTGTTGTAACACTACAGGGAAGAAAGGAGAAGAACGAAAGGAGTACAGCAGTAAAAGAATGCGTCTAACTGGTACCACGACGGAGCGATGAATGAAAATAGTCTTTTCTTAAGGGTACAATCCCCTCTTTTTTTTGACACGTTCTGGTTCTCGAAGACGGTACAACCGATCAAGCTGAAATTTTTAGCACAGATAGAAGACTAAAAATAAAGAGATACGTGTTTGAGGAAACAAATTTGAAGTAAGTTTTTGTGGGGTTTTGTTGAAAACTCTGGTTTCCAGAGGCCCGCATCCTGGTACATTACGACCCTCCTTAAAGTTTGTTCGATTGGGCTGAGATTTTGTTTTTAGATACCTAACACTATTCCTCAGAGGTAAATTTAAGCTTTTTCAAAAATCTCACTTTTTTTTCTATAAGAGAAATACGCCAGAATCGGGATGTGGGTATGAGTGTGGCTGTGAATGTGGATAATAACAAAAGTAACACCCATACCCACACCCAAATAAAAATCTATTGACCATTGATAATGATTATATTTATATATATATATTTATAAATAATAACTGATTATAGTTTTTGAATATATTCTCTGTTGGTTGTTCTCATTTGTAAGTAGAACCTTATCAAATATTTGTTTACTTCTCGAACAATCTTATTATCGTTGAATTAACTCAACGAATATATTTTCAATAAAATATTATATGAAAAACAATTTAATATGATAATTCAATAAAAAAATCCAATGGACTTATTTATATAAATGTTAACTATGTCTATTCATATTTGAATCAGTCCAACGAAATAGATTGATCTAGTTATTTAATTAATTATTATTTAAATTAATAAAACAAAAAAAGTATATAAAAATCAATTAAATAAACATATATTAGCAAATAAATGTTTTTAACTATTTATTCTAAAATCGAAAAGATAATATTATTCTATAATAATCTATTATTTGGTTATGTCGTTTCTTTTTCATCAATTATATAAATATTCGATTTCTTACATTTATTTAAAAAAAGGAGTTTTTTCTTTTACACTTTTTACCACAATCAACAATATTGACATTCGATGTCTATTTATATAAATTACTAATGATATCTTAGTCAAATTTAGAGTTCGAGTTGAACAGATTCAATTTGTTTATTTTATTATTATTTATTTGATTACTCATTCAATATTAATATATATATATATCAATCAGTTGATTTTAAATATAGATTTCATTTTGAAAAAGCAAAATACAAAACGATATTATATGAATATAGAATAACATTTCTTAATATAAAACAAAGAGAAAGAAACAAATTCAACAATATAAATGTAAAACTATCAGTTTGTTTCATAGTTTTATTTTGAGATAAACGCTGAGAAAATATATATTCGATCAATATATTATATTGAATACAACGTAAATCTTTATTTATGTCTTAGTCTTGTTAATCGATACGATCAAACTAGTTTTTTTTTCTTTTAGAATATATTTTGTATAAATAATATTTAAATAAATTAATTCATTTGTGTAATATATTCAGTATTGAATTAATCTCTTTATAATAATAATTTAGATTTTCATGAGAATTCTCCATTCCTAATATCTACTTTATTGATCAAGATTTCTATAATAAACAAATAATCTTATATTCTTTATCAAACGAGAGTTAACTCGAGAAATAAACTAACTTTTATTTAACCAGCATATAAAAACAAGGTACTACTCCAGTTTAGGCACAGTGTGTATATATGAACCGAACAGAAAAAAAAAGTGATTGGTGAGAAATTGACCATCTCATATAAAAAAATCATACAGCGACTAAATTAATATATCACTTCTTAAAGATGACAGCAGTGAGTGGCTGTTTAGATATTATTATTTAGATTTGACAAGTCAACATGTATGTTTTGCAAGAATTTACTTTTTCTTTTTTTAATTTTTTTGATTTAGTTTTCTTTTTTTTAATTAAAAACAAAGATATGAATGATAGCAAGAAAGAGAAAGAATAGAAAAAATAATCAAGATAAGAAATAGAGAATAAATAAATGGATAAATAAATTTTTATTAAAGCGAGGCCTTTCGAATTATTTCTTTTTCAAGTGAGTGTGAGATTGTCAAATTTAAATAATCGAGATCATCAATTTCAATATTAACATCCATTATAGTCGTTTTGAAAATATTAAAGTCAAATCAAGTAAAACAATCACTTTTATACTCAAGCACATTGTTGTGAGACACATTGATAGATTCTGTACCTTTTTGATTTCGTACATTAATCTCTTGTAATTATTTCCTCTTTTATATTAGATAAAACTGCAGTAGTTTAAAAAAATTCTTCAGATGTAAGCTATTAATTATCTCTATTTTGTCTCATTTACTACTGTCATCTTTAAGAAGTGATATATTAATTTAGTCGCTGTATGATCTTTTTATATGTGAGGGTCAATTTTTCACCAATCACATTTTTTTTCTGTTCTGTTCATATATACACACTGCCTAAAGTGTAGTAGTACTCCCCCGTTTCCCGAGCCAAAAAGTTTTTTTTTTCGACTTTTTTTTCATATAGAGGTGTATCAAGGTCCCCTCTATGTGTGCTATAAAAATCAGAACCATCCAAGGTCGGGAAGTCTGTGAAAAACTAAGGTTTTTTAGAGACATGTGCAACAAAAAAAAATTTTTTTTTTTTACCATAATGTTATATTATGATATGGTATACCTATACTTACGTATAAGCGGAAAAAAAAATTTTCTACAAGTTTTTTTTATTTTGCATTTTTCTCGAAACTAGTTTTTTGGGTATCAAAAACCAGTTTTCCCCCTTTTTCTCCGCCACTTCAAGTCCGATCAGGCTGAAAATTTTTTTGGTGAGACTTCAAGTGATTTGGGTTGGGAGTTTTTTTCTTTTGGATACCTTCTACCAATCAAGTTTGGCAGGCTTCGCAAAATTTTTAGGATCCAAAAAACCTAGAGATTTTGCGAAGTGCTCAGTATTTTGGTTCTCCAGCCTGAAGTATTTGGAATTTTTGAAAAAAAAAACTCCCACCCTGATTGGGTCCGTCTACCAACAGTAAAAATTTCAGCTCAAACGGATGAAATCTGTGGATTTGCGGGGGGAAAACGTTTTGCAAGTTTTTGACCTTGGGGTCTCTGGAAGTCCATGAAGATGACGTCTGGCAAATTTGTGTCTATGACAACTTTTGCTCTACTGCTCGAGGTCTATCTACCCTGAAAGTTTCAGGAATTTTCGTTCGGCCGTTTCTTAGAAACGCCGGAAAGGGGGGGGGGGGGGCCCTTTAAAAAGTTAAGTGTATTGGATCAAATTAAAAAAATTTTTTAAAAAATGATTTTATTCAATATAAATCTATATGACACAGGCAAAATTAAACTTAGGCCGAATTCGTTGTAGTTAGGCGCGACAGAGCAAAATCTTTTTATTGATTATCGTTCTCACTCGCCATAGAGAAAAAAAAGAATCTAACTATTTGTTTAAATAAACTTTAAATAGAGCAGCAGAACATTTATTTTCATATTTTTAGTCGCGTCATAAGTATAGCAATGATTTCTTTTTCAACATCAGAATTTACATCTCGAAAACAATTTTACGAATAAGCAAGTGAACATCTTAAATCTTTGAATAACGAATTTCGAGAAAAGACAATGGTCACGCAAAACATGCATGAAAAGATTCTTCGTTCCGTTACGAATAAGTGTTCATCAAGTTTCGATTCACATTTCACATCTTCGTGTCGTACATACTTTGTCCTGCAAAATACAGGCTTGAAACTTTTACTATGTAATGCAAATACTAATAAATCGGTATTCATATATGAAGCGATGTACGATGTTTATATGCGTACTCATGTCGAAACGGCTCATGAATGACGCAACAAATGTCTAGATAGTTGATCGATAAACTATAGCTGATAGAATCGACATCTTTTACAAATCTTTATAAAATTTTGCCTTTCTTGCCAAAAAAAGAAAAAGATTACAAAAATCTATGTTATCAGTATTACTAATAAGTTTGTTTCTGAACATTTACACATCTATTTTTTAAATTAAAATTCAAAACATATAGAATAAACAGAACCTTAACCTTGAAGTATATGAACATAGATGTGAAAAAGATTGAAATAAATATAATTTTAATTCTCCTTCTTTCTTGATTGGATGAGCGTTTTCTGCTAGCGCACTTAGCATAGGTTTCTTTAATTAATTGATCAAAGTTGAGATGTAGATATTGTGTTATTTATCAACAAGAGATCTCTATCAATGCATAGCAACATCTTTGAAGCATACTACTGATTGGTTATTGAATTATCTATGTGATTCATTATATGCTATAAGCTGTTCTCCCAGCTGTCATTTATAAACCACTTGTTCCGAAAGATAAGTGTTTCTCGCCTTTTCTTGTTGTCAGTATTTTACTTATTAAGTTGGTTGAAAGCATGAAGTGTAGGCAGAGCCGACCTATTGCTTTCAAGTAAGTTATCCATTCTCCTCATCAGAGCATCTCCTCATCTAGCAGAAAAGTTTGGCGAGATCATAAAAATATGACGAGTTCACATCTGAAATCCGATTTTTGGACTTCGACACCATTCAGGAGATATAAAATATACTGAAAACAATAAGTTTCAGTTGACAGTGTCCTTATATGGTAATGCATCATTCAACTTCAAGCAATTCTGATTCAGATTCATTATCGTTTATCAATAATAGTTGTACAGCGTAGTCGATGTCGGCTCAACCATTCAGAGGTATGCAATTAGTGACATCGACTATGTATTTTACTTACAGATCAGTACAGTTTTTACAAAATGAAGTCCTCCTCGTGTAATTAAATCATTTGATGGCGTCGAATGGTTATTTACTTTATATGAAGTGTCAGGCCTCTTCTGACTTTTAACTTGTAACTAAGCATTGACTACGTCACTGGCACGTGTCGTGGTCGTTTCGCTGCATCGTGTATTCTCTCTTTCTGCCAAAAGCACTTTATTTAATAACTCAATGACTTCTGTAACAAATTAGCTGAATAAAATTCAGATTCTTCATCACTCTATCCACAAAATCTTAAGTTAACAGAGGTCACGTGTAATCGAAAATAAATGTACGTGGATGTTAACATCAGAATTACTGAGTCTAATTTCAAATCGTTATATTTTGCTTGCGTAAAATTACATGCGAAATCATTTCATCTTCTCTACCTTCTTCAGTCAAGGTAGCATATATTTGACAATAACTAGTGTATTTAGATAGTTGAGTCAGCTGATGAGTCGAATCATCGTTGAAATAAGATGTGCAACTCAATGAAATAAATCGACTAATTAATATCCATTTCAAATTAAAAGGCGGGTGAGTATTTTTGGAATAAGTTTTGATAGGAACGAGATAGAGATCTGTGGTTTTCACCGTTTAAAAGAAGAAATGAAGGGGGTGGGTATGGATGTGGGTAGGTGGATATGGGTAACGAGAAGATTCACATCCATACCCATCACAGTGTTTCTAATGGAACGATGACTTAGAATGTACAAACAAAGGATTTTCTTTGTTTCGTCAAATGTAATTATAAAGTGTTCAGACAAATGTTGTACACTTGTCATTAGAAACACTGCACCGATCCCCACATTCACACCTACCCTCTTTTATACTGTCAAAGTGATTCTTGAAGAAATACTGCTTGAAGATCGTTCATACGGATTTCGTATCTGTTCAAGAACTGTGAGCTCTGAGAGAATTTTCTAAGTTACACAGCCAGAACCAAGCAAAACTTCGAATGAAACCAAAGAAAAGTGGTATTGTATTTTACTAGTTCTTATACATGCCGTTAAAGATATGCTAGTACTATTGGCTTCCCAAAATCATTAATGTAAACTTTATAAGTATTCAAAGAATCATACAGACTATTAGAAAAATTTCTTGTGTTGTAGAAATGATACCGGAGGCACAACAATGAAAAACATTAATCCAGACCAAGATTAGGATTCTTACTGAAAAGGTGACTTTACAGTTTCTTAATCTTGTTTCTAATCTAATCACGATTTTGAAATTCTATGATGACACACTTTTCTCAGGATTTTCTCAGGGTCTCGTCGATTCCTCAGAAAAGGAACGGATCTTTGAAGGATCTTTATTGAACCCTTTAAGGATCTAAAACGGAAACATCAACAATTTTCGATACGATTGTATGACCAGCAAATGTGCTTGTTGAAGAAAAAGATTCTGGTTTAGTCTAAATATCAAATGAAAGTACTATACATGTACTTTAGATTTCTTAAGAAACAAAAAGACATTTTTTGAAAATTTGTCACTGCCGCGATGAATTTTCAAAAAAGATGCCACTACCGCTATCGCGGCAACGGTAGCAGCGGCACTACTATAGACATCTTTGATCTATTTTCAAACAACATATATCGTCCATTATTTCAAACTTTTCAGTTTTCAAAACTCGACTAGGTTTCAACAGAACACATTGGCGAACTCTGCAACTTCCTACACTTAGCTAAATTTTAATTAAAGTTGAACATAACTTAATACAAATATATGACATCAATTATTTTTTCTTACTTTTTTCGATTTTGTTAAAGAAATTTTAAAGTCTTTTAATACCTCTGTTTAATTATGCCTGTCACATATATTTTGAAAAAGACGAATAATGTGATATTTTTCTTCGTAAATTGACTGATGATAGATGGTACATGAGAATTTGAATAATGCTGAATATGATATAAAAGATAAAAATGGTGATTTGGATACTAATGCACCGAATCCAGTCAATACCAATCCCCAATTCATGGGTGATTATCCACAACCAAAATCAACAACTTCGAAAGTTCCTGAAATGTCTCCATCCGTTGAAGCAGCTACTGGATCACCTGCTATCAATCGTCCACCTAAACCTCCTGGACCCGCATTAGGACCTTTTTTCCAGTTTATTTCAACTGATTTAAAAAAAATGCTATGGATAGGTAGTGCATTAATCTTTCGACACGTTTCATTCAATCAGCCTAACATCGAATTTGTTTGTGATCCAAAAGTCGACTACAATTGGGAAATCTTATACGAAAATATCTTTGACTTGTGTGCTTATCGTGTTAATATTTTCATTGAATTACGTTCTGGTGAAGGTGAGGATAAAATCATTTGGAAAATCGATTGGGATAATATAAAGACCAGCGGTTCGTTTCTCATCGCTCGTTGTGATCAAAAATGGCGTGGAGGTTTTTTCTCATGTAATGGATTTGATGCCTATGTTCCGATACAAGTAGCATCAAACTTAACTTATTCTAATGTTTGGAATCATCTTCTTTCAATCCATGAAGAAACTCCATTACATTTGTTATTGTGGGGAGGTGATCAAAATTATGTTGATTTTATTTTTGAAGATATTCCATTCCTTCGTGCTTGGATCAATATGGCATGGAATGAGAGATGGACTACTGATTTTCGAGATGATTTAAAAGAACAAGTTGAACAATATCATTTTTATATGTATGCAGAAAATTGGGATCTTCGTGTCGAAGTGAAAACAGCTTTAACATCCATTCCAAGTTTAATGATGTGGGATGATCATGATATATTCGATGGAGCTGGATCTTATCCTACGTTACTCCATGATAGTCCAGTGATGATGGGATTATTCCTAGCTGCACAGAAAATGCGACTTCTGTTTCAACATCACACCACACTAGAAAAAGCTCGAGAACATCAAGTATTTGGACATCAAGGATATAATTTTTTCGCTCGTTGCGGTCGACATTTAGCGATTCTTGGCGCTGATCAACGAACTGAACGTGATACGCAAACTGTTCAACATGAAAACACTTGGAATATGATTTTTGACAGACTTGAAAACAATCTGGAAGATGTTGAGCATTTAATCGTTTTATTTCCAGTTCCATTTTCGTTTATTCGTGTTCATATCGCCGAATCCATTTTTGAACGTTTAAAAAATCTTCCCAATAAATGGCGAAGAGTGCCACTTATCAAACAAACTAATTCGATTTTCGGTTTACCTGAACTTTACGATGATCTTCTCGATGAATGGACTCATCAATCTCATATTGAAGAACGAAATCGTGTTCTCCTTCGTTTTCAACAAATTGCCGAAGCGAAAAAAGTTCGAATCACTTATTTCAGTGGCGATGTTCATTGCTGTGGCATCGGTCGGTTTCAAACTAGAGGATCTCATCGACCATCACCAATCAATGACGCGAAATTAATGTATCAGATCGTTTCATCTGCTATTGTTAATATGCCTCCATCGAAGATGGCTATTCGTGTTGCTCATCGCTTCAAATCCAAATGGGATCCAGTCGATAACACCGAAGAAGAATTAATTGATTTTTTTGAACGAAGCCCAGAAAATGGAGGAAAAGTTTTTCATAAAAAGTTCCGTCCAAATCGAAATTGGTGCTATTTCGAACAATGCTCAAACATAATGTCCTCGACTGTTACTATCGTTCAAACACGATGTCTTCATTGTCTTCCATCCAAAGGAAGTCCTGTTGCACCAGTCACTTTAGGTCCAAATTCTAGCCAAGAAGGCAAAGGTGGTCAAGAATCTCCGATCTATCACTATTCACACCGAGAATTGTGTCACGAACTGGTTGGAACTGATCAACGCCTAATCGAAACTCATGATTTGCGAATTCGATTATGGTTAGAAAGTGCTCATAAACATCAAGATGGAAGACAATTTGTTGGTTATGATTTACTCATTCCTAATCTCAAATAAATCCTATTTTTCTCACTTTCAATTTGAAGTATTTCATAACTGATCACACGATTTGATAAAAAAGGCATCAATAATTTTAGACAATAGCATTCAATACAGTCTAGATTCCTATTTCACTTGAGATTAGCTCATGCTAACAGGATAGCATAGCTACTGGAAAGATGCCGCAAATTCATTAGATTCGACCCCATGTTCAGGTAAAATAGTTATCACGATATCTCATCTAAGTGGTTCCGAAACAGTAATTGATTTCGCTCTTTTTAAATAAAATCCTACTTGGAAGAAAAAATGGTTATTCCTTAAAAACCATACATTCGATTTTTCTGAACCTTATAAGGTTACAGCATCACCGATACTACTGAATGAGAAGTTCGTAATCGTTCTAAAAAAATATTTATTCAATTGCAACAGATGTAAAAGCTCTTAGCGCAATCCCTTGCGGGATTAAAAATGTGAAACACGACCGCTCTACCGTTACTAATTAAATGGAAATCCTTTCGTCCCACTATGTTGCGATATATTTGTAGCTAACCGTTTATCTGATGCTTCACAACTACAGTTTCTCTGTCACGGCCTGTGATGGCTACCTAGATTCTCTGTCACAGTCTGTGATAGGTACCTGGATTCTCTGTCACAGTCTGTGATGGATATCTGGATTCTCTGTCACGGTCTGTGATAGGTACCTGGATTCTCTGTCACGGTCTGTGATGGAGGAATCACTTGTCTGTAACGGTCTGTGATGGGGGAATCACTTGTCTGTAACGGTCTGTGATGGGGGAATCACCTGTCTGTAACGGTCTATGATGGGGGAATTACCTGTCGGTAACTGTCTGTGATGGGGGAATCACCTGCCTGTAACGGTCTGTGATGGGGAAATCACTTGTCTGTAACGGTCTGTGGGGGGGGGGGGGGGGTGGGTGCAAAGTGGTTACCCTAAATCGTCACACATGGCTTTCACAGGGTGTTTGACAGCCACGTGAC